TTTGAAGCTTACTAACCGCTGGTTTTTCCTATTTTGCAGACCGCTTGCTGTACATCTACACCTCGGGCACGGAGGGCCTTCCAAAGGCGGCCATCATCAAGCACAGTCGCTTCATTTACATGGGCGCCGGGTCGCACTACATGCTGGCCATGACCGAGGAGGACATTCTCTACACCAGCCTACCTCTCTACCACCTGGCCGGCGGCACGGTGGGCGTCTGCCAGGCGGCCATCTTCGGCAACACCATGGTCATTCGCAGCAAGTTCTCCGCCTCGAACTTCTTCAAGGACTGCGTCAAGTACCGGTGCACCGTAAGTGGCTTGCTGGTTTGATGATAAAACTGAGCGTTGATGCTTATCACCGTTTTCTTCTCTTTATCACTAGGTCGCCCAATACATTGGCGAAATCTGCCGGTACCTGCTGGCCCAACCCGAGTCGCCCTACGACAAGACGCACTCCCTTCGACTGCTCTTTGGCAACGGCCTCCGGCCGAACATCTGGCGCGAGTTTGTCACCCGCTTTAACATTCCCCAAATTGGCGAGCTGTACGGCTCCACCGAAGGCAATGCTAGCATGAGTAAGTGAAGATAACTTTGCGTTACACACAAAACAAAGACATTAAGCAGACACTGACCCTCTCTTTTCCTCTTTCTTTCCTCTTTCCTCCTCAGTCAACGTCGACAACACCGAAGGCGCCTGTGGCTTCATCTCGCAGATCGGCTCCTTCCTCTACCCTGCCAATCTGATCAAGGTGGACGAGAAGACGGGCGAGCCGATCAGAGACCGAAACGGCCTCTGCATCAAGGTCTCCGCCAATGAGACGGGCGAGTTTGTCGGCAAGATTATCGAGAACGACCCCAGTCGCGCCTTTGACGGCTACGCCAGCAAGGACGCCACCGAGAAGAAGATCATCCACAATGTCTTCAGCAAGGGCGACGCCGCTTTTGCCTCGGGCGACCTCCTCACGATGGACCGCTTCGGGTACCTCTACTTCAAGGACCGCTGCGGCGACACCTACCGCTGGAAGGGCGAGAACGTCTCGACGATGGAGGTGGAGGCGATCATCAGCAACATCCTCAACCTCTCCGACGCCATCGTCTTCGGGGTGCCGGTGCCCGGGTGCGAGGGCAAGGCAGGCATGGCCGCCATCCTCGACCCTGAGCAGCGTGTAGACCTGGAGCAGCTGCTGGAGAAGCTGCGCGCCAACATGCCCCTCTTCTCCGTTCCCGTCTTCATCCGCCTGGCGAAGCACTTCGAGATGACGGCCACGCACAAGCTTCCAAAAGTGACGCTGAAGCGCGACGGTTACGACCCCGCCGCTACCGCCGATCCGCTGTACATGCTCGACGCAAAGCAGGGCAAGTACGTGCGCATTGACCAGGCCCTCTACGAGGACATTCAGAAGGGCGTCGTCAAGTTCTAGGACATCGTCATCTTTTCTCCTTCTCCCCAAATCGCACAACACTCCTCACCATGTACATACACCGCTTTAGGACTGTGATAGAGGACACCGGAAAGAGTGTGTGCGCCCCGGCGGCTCAATGTTTCGTTCGCTCTCTTTCCGGTGGTCCTTGTTCCCCCTCCCCC